CCACCCCGCGTCAGTGATTGTCAGTCGGTGAACTGACCTCCGAACTGCCCATCCACTTCCATTCCCTCTTCTGGGGTGCCGCTCCCCTACCCCTGTTCTCTCTCCCCTTTCTTCCCTCCCCCGCTCTGAGACGCTCATTCCTAGCAGTTCGTCCTTGGTGGGCGACCGTGGTCCTTAAGCGCACCATTCTCTAATTAAGCAACTGCTTGGCTGTAACAGCCATGCACTTCCCCTGCGTCTCCCCCCTTCCCCATCTCCCTCTTTCGCCCTCACCCCCTTCGCGGTACCCTCTCTCCCCCCTATTCCCTCTCGCCTCTTCTCTTACCCTCTCTGCAACGCTCGGCCCAACCTTCGTTGGTAATATTGGCAAGTTTGTCGGGGGGAATAAGTTGGCGCAGAAATTGAAGACAAGGTTGCTCCCCCATCCCCCACCCTCCCCCTCCTATCCACCCCACCCGTCCCTCTCTCCAGCCGCACAAGTATGCCAAGAACGCTGCCAAGGAGTGGTGGATCCGCGCGTACTCCTCCGTCGAACTCCTCCTCCCCCTTTCCGCCCTCTCTCTTCACGCACACGGAAAGCAGCCTCCGAAGGGTTGTCAAACATTGTCACCTGTGCCCGCCGTGCCAAGTAGGCAGGAGGGAGTCAAACGTGTTTCGGAACATCATTTAATTGTAGTTTAAATTCGTTCAACTCTCCCGCACATAATATCGTGAGGAGTCGATCTTAATTCAATTTCCTCTACATCAAGGACAATTGAAAATTAGAATGCCAACTTCAAGTAGAGCATGCACATCGGAGTGCACAACTGCGTATCAAAAGTGTACGCTTACCTTATTCAGTGTGTATCTAAAATGATCTGAAATTTTTATTTTGGCTTTGTAAAATTTACGACCACATACCAGGTGGCTGATTAACTCCGCACACTTCTGTAGTTAGACTGTTCCGCACGCACGAGTGCGGGCGGACTTGCCTATCACCCCTGTCCACGGCGCCTTACGGGCGGGGCGAGTAGGCAACCCGCCCGCACTCGTGCGTGCGGTACAGTCTAACTACAGAAGTGCGCGGGGTTAATCGGCCACCTCGGGCCACCTGGTATTTCTGTGAATTGTGTGCCACAAGACAAAGTGTCGTATACTGCACGCGCAGAGGTGTTGTACATGACGGGGCTGCAAGCAGTCGTCTGTCCACTGCTGGCAGACTTGGAAGGGGGGACAGAGACAGATAAGCCTTCGTGCGCATAGAGAAAGCCCCCCGCCTACGTCTCTCTCTCTCTCTCTCTCTCTCTCTCCCACACACACACACACACACACACACACACACACGACGCAGAAGAAGAGCGAGGGGCTATGGTCGTGTCGGAATGATAGAGAAGGTGTGAGGGGTCGGTAGTTAGGCGCCCCCGCCCGCTGCATCAGCGCCCCCCCCCCTCTCCCTCGAACAGGCGCGCGTCAGCACATATCGAAACGATTAGCACTGGAACACGGCCACCGAATAAAAGGCAAGGTGCCCGCCATCCGCCCCCGCCCACTATGGTCTCCGGCTCGACCTGCCCCCCCCCCTCTCCCCCCTCCAGAGGGGGGAGAGGTGACTCTGCGACTCTCCACCAGAGCGTTCCGCGTTCCTTATTTGCCTGACCCGTCTTCCGGATCGCTGGCTGATGGGCCCCCGATGGGGTCATGCTCCCCCTCCCTCTCCTACCGTTCTGCTAGTGGTGCACGCGGGCCTCGCGACAGAGCAGGGGGGGAGGGGGGGCGGTCTCCACATTTAAGGACGCCCCCACCCCTTTCCGTCCCCAGCATCTCTCTTACCCCCTTTTCTGGGTGTAAAGAACCCCCTCTGGGGAGTAACCGCGCGTAAACTAGGAATGAGAGTTCGACACTCGTAAATTTCGCAAAGTGCAAAATTTGTCTTACGCGATTATCTTGAACGCCAAAACGAGATCTCCCACACGATGGAATAACACATTGGTTCCGTGTGCTATATTATGCCCCACGGATTATTTTTCTGGTGATACTGTACCGCACGCAGGTTACCGGGCAGATGAGCAGGCAGGCTGCCCCCTACTAGGAGCTGGCGCTGAGCAATCAGGCAACCGGCGCGGTACAGTCTTACCAAAAATGATAAGTGGTGACTGGGAGGGTTTAGTGCGTCACAACGCGCCAGGCTGTCACGGTCGACGCCTACAGCCTTCCGCCGGGTGGATGGAGACTGCGGGGCGAGGGGAACTTTACCGGGTGTGAGGAGGAAAGGTGACTCAGGTGGAGCGGTGCGCGCCCGCCGTCACCGACAAGGAGAGGGTCACCCTCAACGACGCGGCGCGGGGACGAAAGGGGCAGCAGGCGGCACCCAGCGGCACCCGAAGGGGGCGGCCGGGGGCGCGCGGCGCGGCTGCCAAACGATTGAAGGGGCGGAGGAAGGGGTAGGAGTGTCCCGTCAGCGATTTGGCCCCGGCACACCCCGGTAATTTATCCCCTGTGAATGTTAAGCACAGCGTTCTTTTGCGCCTGGCACTAGCTGTGTGTCCCTATAGGGCGGCCGAAGGCCGAGGCACACGGCCCGAGTGTGGGGGGAGGGGGAGGCATATACGAGCCTTCAGCGCAAAAGCTATGGCCAGCGCCCCTCCGCCCCCTCCCACCTCCTTCTACTCAATTCCGTAGTCACGCGCGTGCGTCTGCAAGGCGCCGGCCGCGGCGGTCAGCTCTTTTCTAACGAGGCCCGGCCGCCGGCGGCGGCGGGGTGCCTGGACCTCGCCCGCCCCGCCGCCTCGCACCGTCGCGCACAGACTACTCCGCCGAGTGGAGTACGGGAAGGAACTGCAAAAGCACAACGAATGTGCAGTGATATTGTCAACCTACCAAGCACATTATTACCCACTGTAGCTAAAACACTTGTGATTAAATCGATATTCGCAGCAGCAGCAGCGGTAGACACTAAAATCTGTTATGCTAAAATTTTACTGAAATTTTGCTGTGTTTTGCTATTCTTATGTTAAAGGGTTTGATAACACTATTTTTGAAATAAAATATATAGGGAAAAATCAATGGCAACACATTCTGATCCCTTTTCATCTCCAAAATTTGCGATGAAAGTTATCACACTTTTTCAGTGACTTATCCCTTATACTTTCTATTGGAAAAATGATGTGATTATGCCATTCAGCACGAAAATCCCAAAACACTGGTTGTCGCAAGATTTTGGGTAAAATTATCGTAAAACCAGTCTTGGTGTCATGTACACACCACGGTGGGCCCGGTCCAGGAGGAACAGAGAGCGACACGTGGCCCGGGAGTTCATCACAGGGCCGTTAACATTTTGGTTTGTTGACAAGTAGTACTAGGCAAGTAGAGTCAAGGCGATATTTTCAAATATATCGTCAACGCTCATGCCTCTACGAGGGTCACCAGCAGCAGCAGGGGGTGCGACTAGTCGACTACCCAACGTGCCTCCCTCGCAAACGGTTGCCCCTCACCCCCTTCCCCCTGCTCTCCTCCGGGTCTCTCCTCATCTCCCCCTTCCGACCCTGGTTCTCCCCATCGAGCCAGTAGATGCGGCCAATTATGATGGCACGCCCCATTGGGTCCCAGCGCTCACCCTACCCGCTCTCGTCTATCTCTCTACCCCCTCCCTCCCCCTCTCTCATTCACTGTGGAACACCTGATCTCGGACTCTACGCTGTTGTCTCCATTGCGCATAAAACCACCACAGTTTCTAGTCATCGTTTATTGTCGAGTATTTCTAATGCAGAAACGTTCGCCTCGACATCAACTCTTCAAAGCATCTCACAACATTTTTTTTTTCATTCGGAAAATTCTGGTTTTGTGACAAGTAAATTTACTTACTAGTACCTGCGGGAATGCAAGAATATTGCATTTGACCGAGTGGTCGTGAACTTGTTTTGATGTACTATCAGTGTACCATCAGCCCTGTGCTCCTAGTTTTCTCATTTCTGCGAGGATTGCCCCTTATTATTTTCTTTGGTTACCCATGCGTCAAATGCTGCCGCTGACTTACTTGCCGCTCCGATCGCCTTAAGCAGTCCCTCGCATCGCATCGCCCCTTTGCCCTCGTGCGTGCTTGGCCATTGCATCGACGGAGATCGATGGAGGAAACATCATCGATCCGCTAGAGTGAGAGA